TTGTTAATGATAATTCACTTTTTTTAATAAACACATTTTAGTCATGCCTTTATGAAATAAAAGCAATCTATTTATAATATAAAATGTGATTTAAAGCTGTGTTCAAGTGCCAGAATAGAAAGCCTTATAATACAAAACATGCAAATCTCTGTTGCAACTTGCCACGTGAAACGTCATCCTCTCTTGAGTTGTTCCTTGTCTGACCACGCACTGCAAGCTTGTGAAATATTGAAATATGCATCGTGTTAGTGGGCTCCATGCCACTGTATATTATAGGGGTGACCAAAATTCAAGATGATAGGATAATTTGGCACTTTATATGTGATTAACATGGTTACTTATAAAAAATGAATAAATACATTTTTATCATCTGCTTTGTGTTCAGAAAAGTTAAGTAGTAGGAAAATATAAATTTGTATTTCTTGTTACTATGCAACTGAGCATTCTTCCTTCAGGTACAAAAAACAAATATTTTCTTCTGATTTCATTCATCCTCCTCTGTTTATGATTAATGTTGTTTGATTTTAGCAAAAGTAAACTGAAATCAGAAGCATATGCACTGGTCTACAATTATGTAAAAAAAAAAAAATTGAGTTAATTATAAATCATTATTAAAAAATGTCAAGTGTTTGTTTTTTCCTTTTTTTTTTTTTTTTTTTTTTTTTTTTTTTTTTTTTTTTAACTCCTTAGCAGTTATTTTGAAAGAATTTTAACCCAAAACCTTGGAATGACTAGTTTTACTAATGCCCAGTGTAGAAAAATTCATTAAAAAAATCATCAGTATCACTTATGATGGCCCTGAGTGCTTATAATATTTTAGTGTGACATCTAGTGAAATATGCCAGAATTTTTAAATAATCAGTACACTGCATATCATTAAAAATTTTCAAAGCTATGTCTCAAATCATCCTAGTAATTTTGGACATTAATAATCTATTGCTAATAAATCTAGCACTTCATGCCAGTTTATATAAAGGCTTCGCTGAGTGTAAATTACAACTACTACCATTTGAACTTTTAGCCAAATTTTGAGCTGTTTTTGAAATACAAGGTAAACTAAAATTAATCATTCAGAAAGAAAACATACCTGTGACTACTATAATGAATGTTTTTTCACAAATACAAATGTAACATCAGTGTAGAACTCTCCATATTTCTATAGACATGTATAGTCATTTGATATGAAGGCCTTTTGTGACACAGCAGACATCTTTACAATAGTTTAGCTTGGGAATTCTTGCCAAACTGGGGTATGGATTCACCTTATTCTAACTGTTAATTATTGGACCCAATAAGCAGTCAAATGACTTTTCATCATGTCTTAAATTTCTAAGTAAAGTAACTCAGAAGAAAATTTTAAATCAATATTTTATCTTATTGTCAGGCTAATGTTTACACAACCTGTGTACAGAAAATAAATCTGAAATGGAGTTTGGAATGGAATCTGTAAGCATATGAGGATACTTTAGGGGGGGGGGAAGACAAAACTTAAATGTTTAAGAGCCGAGACAACGGGGTAGATGTACTAAGGGGTGAAAAATTTTAGAAATACTGAGAAGGGAAAAAAAAAAAAAGAACCAGGTCTAACCTAGAATGATATTCATGTCAAGCTTGAAAGAAATGAGGTCATAAAACAACGTATGAGAAAATAACACAAAGTGATTTCACCAGCATCAGTATGCTGTATTTTGACAGAAACTTACCAGAAGGACATTTGTGTTCAGTTCATACCTCATTACTTGAAGTAAAGTTACTGATATGAAGATAAAATATTTTTATCTCAAATAACAACTGATAAGACTTGAATTAAAAATTTTGACTGGAATTGAAATTGCTGTCAATCCAGCGATTTTCCCCACTGACCCGAGATATTTCAGCATGCACAACCATTAGTGAAATAAATTATGATCCTTGCTTAGGATTACCAAGGAGTTATTATGAAAGGTAAAGTTCCATCTGGGAAAACTGTTCATCGTAGCATATTACTTTGCGTCGGTGCAAAACTGTGAACTAATTGCATAAAAATGACCTCACTTCCCTAGAAATGGGGAATTAATTTTGAAAGACACTCATAGAAAATTGAAACAAGTCTCCTATCCAAGCACGAATAGAAAGGTTTACCTCACCAAAAATAAAATTCTTGGATTTAAAATTCTTTCCCAACTTGAAGCAGCCCTGCATGGATTGCAGGGCAAAAGAGGTTTCTTCAGCAGTCACTCAAGGATTGAATAAAAGTAGTATCCTATAATGAATAGCAAATCTTCCAAGTGGATCACAGCTGTTGTGAATAATGAAATCACACAGAAGGAATGCGAACAGAAACAGCCTGAAATAAAATTATTTGGAGAGGAAAAAATTAGAGATAATTACTTTTTAGATCAACTTTGTATATTTTGTGCTATTCTAATGACCATTACCTGCTCAAAAAGTAACATGAACAGAATAATAATTGCCAGATATGGAATTATTTGCAATTTTGTTTTGTTACATTAATGGATAATTTGAAATCGATTAAATGAACATACATAATCTAAGAAATGAGTGATTAATAAAAAAACATGTCATTGCATGATTTCTATTTCAAATTCCATTTGTATTTCAAAAAATGAAACTACTGTTTTTGAAAACAAGTTGCCTTTCAGAGAGCAAAGGGCCACAAGTAGCTTGGAAGCCGCAGTTTGGTCATGCCTGGTAGATAATGTATTTCTAAAAATCTGTTTGTAAAGTGCAGCTTTATAAATTCTAGATTGTCATTTATTTATTTTTTTTTTTTAAGTGATCCATTTCTTAGTTTAAAAATAAGGAGAAGCATTGAATGACATTGCACTTTTTGATTACTGGAATTGTAGCATGTGAGAATTAGAACTAAGAATTACATCATATGTAAATGCACACTATAAGCAATGATACTTGTACTAATTAATAACACCAGTGAAAAGAATACTGGTGGCAGTTAGATTTGATTAGACTTCAGGCTTGTAGGTCTTTGCAACACCACTAGTTTATCTGTACTTTCTGGGGAGAGAAACATTTAAATACAGTAACATTTTGATAACCTGCACAACTGAGAGCCAAGGATTGTTCAAAATAGTGAATTTTGCAAATTATGTGTCATGCCTTTCTGATTTTTGTTTATATTTTTCTCTTTTTAAGCTGGATTGCTTGCATGTGAATAACTAAAGACACTCATTTTGAAGAGTTATTAAATAAAGATTGAGTGCCAAACTATTATATTTTTTAAACAGTTTGATACTCAGCCTTGATTAAATTTTATTCCTAACTATTGTATTTTTTAAATATAATTACGTCCAAAGAATATATAATTTCAGTACAAGGTGAAAGCAAAATAGAGGGATAAAATAGGGAAATTTGAGGAACCCTCTACCCCTCCCCCCAAAAAAAGGTATCTGGCTACAAAATTATTTTAAAAGTAATTTTTTGTTCTCTTCAACAAAAGAAAAAAATAATAGATAAACATAATCCTGTATAATTATGCAGAACTGGGTGAAATTTAATCAGACAAAGATTGCATGCTTCCCTTATAAATCATATTATTTTATTAATTAAACTCTATTTTATTCAATACTAGCAGAAGTACCCAATGCCAGTTAAGTTAGATTGAGACTAGTGCATCTAACAACAGAGAGAACAATACTGCTGTAATCCTTCTCTAATAACGGTACAAAAAATACAATTCATAATCATACATTTTTCAGTCTGATGCGATATGGAACCCACATAAATCTCAATAGAAAAATAAGCTAATTTTCTCTCATGTCAGCAACAATGGAACACAGTTTTTAATAATTTTTGTCTTTCTAATCAAATGTTCGTAAAAGCTCAAACTCCATCCAATATTTCACCTATATTCAATTTTAGTCAATTAAATGTGGATAAACATTTATCCCAATTGATCAGAAATCAATAATGCGAACAACTTTATTTATATAGATTATATAAAACTTACAAATTTTTGATTAATAAACTCTATGATTTGAAAGCGAGCAGTAGCAACACTTTTTGAAATAAAGCATTCTTATCTCCAAAGCGCGAGACTGTTACCATTTGGAAAAATAAGTGCGAAAATGAGTGCTTTGAGAGTTTTTAATTAATATTTTGGCTGATTAAAGTCGTATGAAGATGGGAATAATCGAAATGGCTTCCCACGAATTTTTGAATAGGGTATAATGTATTTAATGTTTGGTAATGCTATTTTTATTTCATCAAAAACTTCAAAATTTTTTATTAGCAAAAGGATTTGAAAGCGAGCGGTGGCAACAACTTACAAAATAAAGCAAATTTTCATTTCTACCTTGTGAGACTGTTGCCACTCGGAAAAATGAGTGCGAAAATCGTTTTTCCGAGTTTTTAATTAATATTTCTGATTTTAGCTACTTTTTTTAAAGAAAAAAGTGGACATCGACTTTTTTCAGGACCCAGAAAAGAATCGTAGAAAGTTTGGCAACGATAGCTAAAGTAGTGGCTGAGTTATTAGAGAACAAACTTTCTTCTTTATATATATAGATATTATTTACTGTTTCTGTATTTTCATCCCCCCTACACAGGACATTCTTGGATTATCCATGTGATTCTGTATTTTATTATGTAGCATTTTACAGAAATAATTCGGAGCTCATTGTAATTGAAAAGTTGCAGATACACAATTTCCATTTGTTGAACATACACACATTTTATACTATTTGGAGAAAATCATGCATTTACTATATACTATCTGTAATCTTTTTTTCTGTTTGAACCTCACATATTATCTAATACTGCAATCTTCCCAAACAATGATGCATAAAATAAAAAATTTAGTGTTTTTAAAAGTGTGAAATATATAATGATTATTATAACTATTAATATAATCTGTATATAAATATTTGATATATATTGAATTGCTGAAAAATAGCATCAAGAAAATGGTAAGAAATTTTGTTGTAAAATTGTAATAAATTTTTAATTTGTAATCTGGTCTAATATTCTGACAAATTTTTCAGCTGAAGAGACACAAAATTGATGGTGTCCGGAAACTTGCTGCACATCCTCGATTGAATGTGTGTAAGTAGATTTTTTATACTGAATTTCATTTTGAATACTTTTCTATATCTAATCAGTCAATCAAAGAGTAGTAATTTTATGCTATATTATGTAGCAAATTTTCTCTTTATAAGGTTAATATTTCATATATAAATTGCAGTCCTAGTTATTAGTTAGCAGTTCTCTATAAAATTCTATATAGAAATTAGTTTAATTAATAAATAAAAATTTCTTTGTAAATTAGTTTGTTTAATACTAATGATAATAACTTCACTATAGATCTCTCTGGTTCTCAAGATGGGTCAGTAAATCTTTGGGAATGGAATCATGAAACAGCTATCTCATGTCTTCGCCAACCAGGAACATTTGCAAAAGTTACTAGAATTTTGTTTAATTTACAAGGCAATAAGGTAAGTTTTTGAGTACTTTTGTTTGAGACAGAGAGGATTTTTCTGAACCTGAAAAATGTTTTAATAAAGATGATTCTTAGACACTAAATGTTATTTTGGAATCAGATATTATGCAAAGTTTCCCAATACAGTGTTTACATTTGTTTGAACTACAGTTACAGAGAAACTATTGAAAATGGCCTGAATGAGTATTATGTGTTTGAAGCAACATCGTCTACTTAGAGTGTATGGGAGTGCATGTTGGCATTTTATTGTTTTTAGTGTCATCACAATCCACTAGGAGCAGTGTGCCTTATATAGTAGAGCTATGCACATTTTGTTTCAAGCAGTGTGTGTGTGCATTTTAAAGTGAAATGAGAAAACTATGACTGTGTATAAAGTGCAAAGATGATGAGAAACAGAATTAAATACTTCTGCAATAGTCACAATGCAATGTTACTTAATAAGCTCAAGGGGGGGGGAGTATGGTCTTAAGAAAGGATAATGCAGCAATAAGAGAATGACAATAGATGGAGTTGTGGTTTGGTATTACAGACTGCCATCGTATACAGACATGAGATGACATGCATCTAAGGCTACTTGTGCTTCTTCTCTTGCTGAGATCATATTTGTTATTTATTGAACTTTTCTGTAGTTTTGCAGATGATACATTGCTTGCTGTTAATGGCAGCCATTTTGAACCTATATAACTTTTAGATATACATACCATAAAAGTTATTAACATTCCCGGGATTAATGTATGAAGTCTGTAAACATTATTTCAAGACACCCTGTAATTGTTTAAGTTACATATTTAGTAATGTGTAATTTGCATAATAATTTTGAGAACACAATTCTAGTAACATTCCTGTGGGGGAAAAAAAAAAAAAAAAAAAAAGAGGTGCAGTTCTTTTCTGAGTTATAATAATTTTTTTTAAGACAGTATAAGTTTGAAGTACTTTAGATGTAAAATACTTTTATGGGTATGGATTCTAGTGGTTTTATGTTTTTCGATACCAAGCTCAAACTAAATCTGTAATAAATTAAACTCCACTTTCTAACCATATAGTCAAAAAAAAAATTGTCTTATTTTAAAATTTATTGCAAATGCACAGTTTTGGAAATTTTTTAAGTTTCCAATTTGGCTTTTGTAATTTGTGTCTGTTCTGTGCATTTGTGCGGTTTCTTTTAAACATGAAATCTTATTAAGCAACAATATCTGCATCATGTGCTAACCATATTTTTCTTTTATCAAATTTTGTTACAGATCATGCATTAATCTGGACATGCAAATTAAACTTATTTATTAAAAATGTGACTGTAGCAATGAATTGCATCTTATAAGCTGCATCATATAGAACCTTGCATATAATTTCAACCTAAAGAGAAGTTTGGATTGACGAAAAAATAAGCAAGTTCAAGTTTTATTATATGAAATTAGAAGAAAGAGGACAAACCTTACAACTTTACATTTAAAGTTTTGGAATTAACTCACAGTTCACACTATTACTTATTTATAATAGTTTAGAAAAAGTAATTTTTAATGTAACATTAAGAAACTTAATTTGCGTATCTAGATTAGTGCTTATTGCATTATTTGTTATGTACTGTAACAAGTAATGCAGTTCTTTAGCTTCGTAATGTGGAGTAGCTTTTAACCATGTGAATCTTTTATTCAGAAGATCTTTGCTTAGAAATTATATATTTAAAATAAAATAGTTAAGAATGTTAGAAGTAATATTTAAAGTAAATATACATTCTTTAAAAGTTTATTTAAATCTGATGTACAAGGCTTTACATGTTTTGAATTTTGACAGATGTTTACATATATACATGTTTTTAAAGCATTTATCTTGCTTTTTAGTTTGGTATAACTGACGGTGATGGTATCATTAGTCTTTGGCAAGTAGGACTTGGATCCTCTGTCAACAAACCATTTTTTGTAAGTTTTTATTTTACTTCTATTTAATTTTTTTTCCCTCGTGTTGCAAAGAATTAAATTGTTCATGAACAGTGTTATTAAGCATTTGCTTTAGAAAATGGAGGGAATATCCATTTGGTTTAGAAAATGTTACTTTTATCTATAATCGCTTTACCTGCTTTTCAAATAATGCCGTAGAAAATTGTTAATACAACCTATGTAAAATATCAACATAATTCTGTAGGTGTATTAAGAATTGGCTGCACAAAGCAAAATTCAAAGTGATGAGTGTAAACATTTTTCTAGATTTCAGTAAAATTTGAATTGCCCTTAAAATGACTGTTGATTTTGTTCAAAGGACTTTTATGTAATGCTGTTTAATTCTGTAAGCAAAGACGGTCAAGCAATTAATGCTAGTGCATTATTTTTTTTTGGGGGGGGGGGGGCAGTTTGCTGCGAGTGTTTTGAAAGTTATTCTCATGCATTAAACTCATATGTTAAACTAAGAATTCATAATAATACAAAGCAGTGCTAATTTTAGGTTCGATTGATAATTTTTATTTATGTTATTGTTACAAGTCTCATATCAATGGATACTGGCCATTGATCATGTTACTATTTAATTTTGATTGAAAATGCACCAGCTGATAGAATTGATAATATTGCACTCCCCCCTTTTTTTTTTCTATATCACCAACTCTCAACAGGAGTTTTAGAAAAATAAGACACTATAGTCTGGAAGTGTCCATTTTTAGTAGGATTAAAACTTCAGCTCACTGCTGTGGCAATCGGTCTTATTAATCACCATACACATTGGAGTGCAACTTACTTCTGTTTATGGGTTCCTTTAACAGTTTTGTCAGGAATGACTTTAATCCTTATTATCTTTGACTCAAATAAAATTATGCATTTTTATCTTATGGAAACATTTTTCATTGCAAAATGAAAGAAATACATTTTGTAAGCGTTGTAGCAACTTTCATTGGGGTTTTGAGTTCTTCCATGAATGCAATTTGACAGTAGTTTTTTGTCAGAGACACTTCTAAACACACAGCTAATAAAACAGGTTGTGGCAAAGAATGTTTATGAACATACTTTTTACCAGCTAATGTGGCTTTATTGTTGCCACACCAGACATCTATTCCTTCTAAACTGGTAGGCTTACAAGTGCTTATTTACATTTTGTAATGAAAGATTTTGGTCTTTTAAAATTTCAAAACATGCATAAATTATATATTTTTGGAATTATCTCAGTCTTTTTTCAGCCCAAAATCGAAAATTTTTGTGATTAATGAAAGCATTATTTTTTTTAACATATCATGTTTTAATTTAAGTTTGCCCTTGTGATAAGCAGTCATCTGTTTCTTAATGATTTTTTAAATGATCTAATTTATTAGCTATTTCATTGTGTGTTCCCAGTTTTTTGCAATTTGGATTACTGCTAATTTTAACTGAACTGGATGTACAAGTATTAGGTGATGATAAAGTGCACTAGGCCTATCTGCCTAAGCGGAGGGATGCCTTCGTGGAAGACTTTCTAGGGGAAACTGCATCATTTTCTCATTACATGTAGAAAAGATGAAAACAATTCCCATGCATTTGTTAAGATTTAAACTTTGGTCAAACTGTCGATGTTCAGTGGTCTCAGCTACTGGTCAAACTAAAGTAGGAGGTAGTTCCCGCGCTATGTTTAGAGAAAAGTTAGGGAGAAGTGGATATTTGACATACTCTATGGTGATATCTCAATATGTATTCATGATTTGGATTTACTTTTGATATATATATATATAACTATTCTTAAGTTTTACCTAAAGTAAATTGCTATCTCATTGACCTTGCTAACTAGAAATCACCATGTATTGTAGTCAACTCCTGATTAGCCAAGTTTCATATTAAATCAGCCCCTGTAATGGAAAAAAAATACTAACAGTTAGCATAAAAAAACTGTCTACAAATATAAAAGGTACAGAAACTGTGCAGAATAACAGTAGTAATTAGCAAAGTATTAGTATTCAGAAGTTGTTTATATCTACAACAGTATGTAATTGGAAATAAATAAACATTTAAAAAAATGTAATAAGTGTACAACCACTAATCTTCTGTTTTATACTGATGTGTTAAAGTAATATGAATAAAAACATTATTATCTTTGATTTGTTTTGATTGCTGATTTAATTTACATAACCAAACGGATTTATTCTGCAGATTAAACTATTTGAAAATGTATGTAAAATGTTGATATTTTTCTGTTAATTATAATATTCCTCTCTGTCTTTTTTTTTTTTTTAACTGCCCTCGGATTAGCCATCATTTTGAGCTAATGGTTAATGCTAATCCCCTGCAACCCAGGAGTTGACAGTATATTAAAATGCATGTTACTGTTAAGAAACATATATACAAATATGGTTCTTTATAAAAATATGGTTACGTGTAATAAAATATTTTATATATTAATTGAAAATTTTTTCTGAGAAGTAATTTATTATATTATAAAAAGGTAGATGTTTGATATTTATTTGAAGTGTTTTCCCCTCTTAGTCTACTCAGTGCCATACAAAGCAAGCCAATGACTTTGCCTTTTTAAGCTCTTCTAGTTTAATCGCAACAGCTGGTCACTCAAACGACAACCGGAACGTGTGTTTGTGGGACACTCTTCTGCCGCAAGGGAAGTCACTTATTACAAGTAATTAAAATTATATATTAATTTATCTCTTTATTTTAATAACCTACATTTGATAGTATTTGCGTTTTGTACATTGATATCTCAGCAATCAAAATTCAGCAAGCTGAAATTGTAATAAGAAAAGGAAACTTTAACTTACTGAAATTAACATTTCTTTCTAATGATATGCTTTATTTTACTGAAGGTTTGTTGTATATGCTAACACAGTGGTTCTCAACCTTTTTTGGCCTCATGCATCCCTTTCACCATTCCCCCTTCCTTTTCAAAACTCAAAAAATATACATTTATATAAATGTAGATTATTTTTAATATGTTTTATAAATTAAACAAGGAAAGAAAATAATGATAAATTCCAAAAGAAATGTATGAGGAGATAAGTGAGCCAGGGTATAAAAGATCTTAAAAGAAAGGCAGTGTGTAGGCTTTTTTCTTTAAATTTTGATGTAAGAGTTGAGAAAATTTCAAATTAATACATATATTATTAAAGTCACGCAGTATACTACGAAATTAATTAGTCAATAGAACTTTAGGGAATAGCCCACCTTTAATTTTAATTTCTTGATTTTATATACAGTACCAAATCTTTAATCTGGACGTCCATAAATAATTGAACTATAATCAAATAGATATTTGTTCTGTATCCTTTTACCTTTCATTTAAAAAAAAATTACAGTTATTACATTATGCCAAATTATTTACTATGATGAACATTTCTACTTGGCTAAATTTCCAAAACAGAAGCATAAAAAGTACAATTTTTATCCAAGTAAAAAGACATAGGTTTATACACGCACATATATAGGAAATGGTATATTGCATAAATGTAACTTGGAGAGGTTTTATTGCATAGATGGAAGGATGACACTTGCAGACAGATGTAGCTGTAGGTACCACATAATTGTATTACCAAATAACGCAATTCTTTAGACGCATAATCTGATTCACATCGTTATGGCTGTAATACGTACTCCACAGTTTTTGAAAGCTTAACCTATCTTCAGACTTATAGACTATACACAGTAACGAGCAGTGATGGATGTTGTCCAAAGCGAAAAAAGTGGAAAGTGCGTAATTATCTGGTATGGAAGCTTAACCTTTGGTTTGCAATAGAAACCCTATTCAGGGATCAAGTAAAAGTTATCTGTATTGCTATTATTGTGTAAAACTTATGATGAGGATTAATTTTGAAACTACACTGTTTAGATTGATGTAGAATAAATAGTTATAGTTTTAGGACAGAATGGAAAAATGTCCAAATTAAAATGAAGAATATAAGGGGACTATTGCCAGTTAAAATTAGAATATTTTAATTGGCATAGTTTTATCTTGTATATTTAGAAGCTAATTCTTAAATGCAGACAGAATGGGTATTGTGCAAGCAGCTAAAATTTCTAGCAAGACAATTATTGAAGTCAGTACACTTTTTGTAGTGTTTACTTTGATACTTATTTACTTTTCTATGGCTAAAAAGTTAGTTTAAAAATATTGGTATCAACTGTAAAGAGAAATGAATGCATTTACGAAAATATTTGAAATTATATATGTTTATAAAAGAATTATAAGTGCTTTTAATATTTTTATTTAAATTTTTCATATTTTGTTTTCTTTTAAGGTTTTCAGTGTCATGAAAATGGATGTTCGGCTATTTTATTTGCATCTCAAAATCACATTCTAATTTCTGCTGGCAAAAAGGGAGATATATGTATCCTTTACTACTTCCTAATCCTTTTTTATGGCTTTTAAAATGTATATGTATCAAATGTAAATTCACCATCAATTATGACGTAATTATAATAATTTTTAGGTTAGGCTCGTATGGCATTACTGAAGTATGCTACGAAATACATTAAAATGTAGACCTTATACCGCAAAATGATTACTTGTTTAAGCTATATTTACTTTATAAATTTATGACATATCAAGATAGTTATGATTTTATACTTAAATATGTATACAAGTCAGTTTCCCTTAGAAAGTCCTCCACAAAGGCATCCCTCCCCTTAGGCAGACAGGTCCTTGTCAACAGCTATTGCTTCCTCCAAACTATCCCTTGATGAAATTTATTTAAAAGCAATACCTGTTGACAGGGGCTTTTCACCCAACATTATTAATCAAGCAGTTAAAAATTCTCATCTCAACACACTAAAAGGCACACTCTTGTTTTAGGAGATTATAAAAATTCTGTTGTCATTCTCTTCTTTCCATCAATTAGCTATAAAGTTGCACACATTTTGCACAAATTTAACTTTCGGGTCGTTTATTCTCCCATCAATAAAATTCCAAGTTCCATACTCAAGGACTCCATTCTGGATATGAATACCTGGGGTATTTATAGGATTCCTTGCCAGTGTGGTTTAATTTACATTGGTCAAACTAAGAGAGCCTTAAAATTTCGCGTCAAGGAACATGAGGCATATGTTAAGAAAAAGGAAACACAGAAGTCTTCTGTTGTCCAACATTGTTGATCCGAAAATCACACTTTCAATTTTTCTGCTGCTAAAATTATTCAAAAAACATCTTCCATTGGAGAACTGGATTTTCTAGAGGCATTTCACATTAAAAAAAAAAAATCTTTGTTCTAGTTAATGATCCTAATTCCAATCCCTCTTTGCCTTCGTCCTTTAAAGAAATTGTTTTAGTTCTGGTTTCATCAACAGATGGCGCCACTAGTTTATTTTCTGTCCAGGCTTTCTTATCTTATCTGCTCATTGTATCCTATCTTGTTCATTTGCGCTTTTGCAGCTGATAATGGTGGTTCGGTAAAACCATCAAAACTAGTCCTGTGAAAATTTGAAAATATAACGCTGATTTTTGTTGTTTCACTTCTGAATTAATACTAAAACTTATTTTGTTCATTATCTGCAAGTGATTGAATTAAAATAAAAGCACTTTCAAATCATTTAATATAATAACTTGTTTCTCCTAAAATTTCAGAGACCCTACATTATGTGAATTTTTTGCCCTAAATTAGACTCAGTTGTACTGAACTTGCACTTCAGATTTTTGCCTGATGCTAAAGAAAACTATATAAACAAATTTAAATATCGGGTGCTCTTGATATTTTTCTTCTGAAATGTCATAATTTAGACATTGCCTAGTTTTTACAAAAGTTTATGAATTCTATTTATATATCTTAACTATTTTTTGTTTGCATTCCTTAATTAAAAATCAGGTATATTTGATGTAAGGCAAAGACAACTGAGGCACAAGTTCCAAGCTCATGAGTCTCCTATCAAATGCCTGGCTTTAGATCCTGGAGAAGAATTTTTTGCAACAGGTTCAGCGGATGGTGATATAAAGGTACTTTTTAAAAGTGCAACTTTATTCATTAATTATTTTCATATCATATATGACTTGAAAAAGTTCAAAATGGGTGTATTCAGTTCTGGGAATGTACTAGGAACCAGAGTGATTTTGAGCTTTGTTTGTGTACCTAGGTTTCTGGTATTGAATGTTCCCACACAATGACAATAATGCAGAACAGAAATTTTAAAGAAAGAAAACATCTTTTGGATGCCGTTATCTAATGCTAAATTAAATTTTTACAATTTGTTTAGTGAGTGCAATCACTCACTAATAAATAAATATCAATTTATTAACAAATAAAATTGTACAGAATAATTTTACCCTGACTTAGCAAGACCTCGAAGATACGCAGTTACTTACTTTATTTTTCATATTAAGTCTTTTAATGGATTTGCGTTTGAAATTGTCAGTAATTCAGATAATGCTCCTGATTACACTGCCCATTTATTAGATTTAATTTTAAAGAAATAAAATCAAAGGATATAATTTATACTAAATGCTCTAAATTTTTAAACCCATCGGCATTTAAATAATTTTGTTTATATGCACATTTATTTTACTACTATTTTGCATTGATATGTATAAAACCTATATTTTTATATCATGTTTTTCTTTCAGCCAAGTGTTTCCTTTGCCCTTGGTTCTATTTAAGAATCTTAAGTTTGACCTGGGCTTGCAGCTTTCATTCATCCTGCTTATTGTTGATTTTGGAATATTTTACTTTATACATATTTTTTAATATTTATAGCATTATCTACAGGGTGATTCAGTTAACATGCACAAACTTGTAGGATGGGTAGATTGTACAAATTTTTAAATATTTAGAAGACAGCTTTTACAAATTTCGATTATTTAGAAGACAGCTTTTATTGGGTATGAGCTTAAGTATTCACGTTAAATTATGTTCTTTTCAGTTGTTAAATGGTCCATTTTCAAATTTTGCTTACATATGCAGCCCCAGAAAATAAAGAAAATTCATGAAGAATTAATATTTAAAGTTTAATTTGAGCAATGCATTGCATCAAGATGACTATAAATATATTTTTACAACTTTTTAAAATATCAAAAAATCAATTGAAATTTTTCAGATATAAATCTTAAAAAATGCTATCATTGGTAAAATTGTCTGCCCCTTTCAAGTTTTACATTATTCAACCTCATTGTTTGGTAAGCTAACTTTTTTTAAATAAAGAAGTTTAATTATTTTTAACATAAACTATTAGGGTGTTATATTTATGATAAAAATTAATTACAGAAGTTTTTTTCTTTAGCAAATCAATAAAAATAATTTGTCTTTCATTTCATGTCAAGTTTATTCCCAACATTACCTTGAGATTATTTTATCCACAGTTAGTTTTTAAATCTGCTTAAAAGGCGCACTACATATTCAATGACACAGATAAACTAGTCAAGCTAAGCTTCACTACTTTGAATACATACTACTGCCTTTAGGCAGATTTACAAATTAATAAAATAATCTCAAGGTAACAAACGGACTTGACAGGAAGTGGAAGATAAATTGTTATTTATTGATTTGCTAAATTTATATCTAAAAATGTCAGTTGATTTTTTTAATATATTTTAAATTGTAGGTAGTCATCTTTATGCAGTCCATTGCTCAAATTAACATTTAAATATGATTTTGAATTTTCTTTGTTTTCTTCTGGTGCAGCATATGTCAGCAAAATTTGAAAATGGGCCACATACACAACTGCAAAAGTATATTTTACTAATATGTAAATTTCATCAGGTATGGAGCTAAAATGTCCATGTTATATTATGTTCCTGTGTGTTGTTGCATAAGTATGGGATGGTAATAGATTGGATGCACACAGAATCAATTACAGCTTGATAAAATTTATTTCATCAAAAGAAACACTTTACAGTTTTGAAACTTTCCACAAAAATACTCATATAACCCTTCTCCGTATCACAGAACACAATGAGTAGTTACATTTGAAACTACTAAGAACATTAAGCACGGTTCAGTACAAAGCCCATATCTCATACTGAACTATCAACTACTGAGAGCAGTTGCTCTTATATAGTTTTCAAGTTTTGAGAAATCTCTATAGTAAATTCCATTTCTTGAAATTATTGGATGTAATATGAGGACCAGTTACTTAAGGATCAATTACAGCAAAATATAGCCAAACAATTGCTAAATTTGGTGATTTTGATCTCTTGCCAAATTTGGTGACAAAAATTAGTCGCCAAAAACATCGTCAACTGAACAAAATAGCTATTTACTTGATGTTGAATAGACTTGCCTGTATTATTACCTTTCTGGCAAAGCTTCACTTATTTATATTTTCATATTACATTATTAAAATATACCTAAAGTTTCATGTATAATATCACTAAAATTATTTTATATGTTCAAAATTCTCCCTTTGCATAGTCCCCTTCCCAACAACTGCCCATCCTGGGCAGTATAATCCCTGGACAGGAAGCCATACTTACAACTAAGGAAAATCAGTGCAATACTAAAACAATAACTTCAATAAATAATAAATCAAACACCAAGTCAATAAATAAATTCATATACAAGACCATGGTCTTAGTACTCTATTTACATTTTATACACCATGGAGACTATGTATGTACCATGGCCATAGTAAAGGGCTAGCCTGTTATAATGAATGACTTTAGGCTTAGAATCTGATAATTTACAGACCAAACCATGACGTCATTCAGCCTCTTGCAAGACTGGTGCCAATTTTGCAAGTCAGCCCTTCTACTCCACTAGAAGTGGTTTCGAACTCTATGCATAGTCTTCATTATTCCAAAGTGGCTTCCAGTTGGACTACTATGTAGTTCTTTAATGACATTCAGGATCTTGGAAGTACTAGCTGCCATTAGAATGGCTTTCCATCAACTGATTTGAACTTCTGGAACAAGATGTTAATATGGAACAAGTTCTGAATATGGAACAAGTTTCAGAAGACCCCAGGCAGAGTCTTCTAGTCAGGGTGTCGGTGTTTCCGTATGATGATCCCTTCCGATGATGGATAGTGATGTCATATTCTTGGACTCTCTATACCCATCTGGGTATTTGGCTTTTCGCATGCTTGAAATTTAATAGCCAGGTCAAAGATGCATGATCTGTGTGGAGTGGGAATTTTCTGTCATAGAGTTGATGATGGAAAATGTTGTACAGCTTTAGGGCGAGTAACTTTTTTTCTGGTGGCATAATTCCTTGTTTACCTAGACACTTGCTCTAGTATGCAACACATTCTTGTGTAGTTCTTGGGACAAAGTAGCACCAGTACTGTCATTATTCGCATCTGTGTCAAGAATAAATGGTTTCTCCAGTTGAGGATAGATCAGGATTGTTGCAGATGTTAAAGCTTACTTCAGTTTGTCAAATGCGTTTTTGTCCATAATAACTTCAGTTTGCTCTCTGTCAGCTTAAAGGGGGGAGGGTAGTGCAGTGAAAGAAAAGTCCTTCACAAAGTAGTTACGAAGCCCCACGAAACTTCTCAGCTGTTGCATATTTTCAGGGTGTCTCCAATCTGTAACTGCTGATACTTTTCCTGGATCCGTACACACACCTTCTCCATAGAAGACATGTCGAAAGTAAGTCACTTCCTGTTTGAACAATTTACATTTGGCAGGACTTAATTTTAGATTGGCTTTTATCAATTTCTGAAGCACCTTCCTAATATTTTCTAAATATTCTTTAAAACTCTTCCTGATGATAATGATGTCATCCGAGTATGTCAGGTAGCCTTCATAGAAAAGACCTCACCACGTGTTCTCCATGAGGTTTTTCGAATAGTGCATTAAATAATCCAAACGACAAACATAATGAAAGGCCGGTTACAGTTACATATGGGCTCAATTACAATACCCATTACAGTCATACAGGGAGAGAACCAAAACGTCGCCAAGTTTGATGACAAAAATTAGTCATCAAAACTATAGCCAATTAAGCAAGATAGCCATTTACTCAATGTTAAATAGACCTTCCTCTGTATTCTTTTTTTTGGCAACCCCCTTCCCCTCAAAAAAAGGGGGGGGGAGGAAGAACTACAATTTCACATAAAATTTACATATGTACAAAATTCATAACAGAATTATGCAATTACTAATCATGTATTTATAACAATTAAAAATTAAGTTTTACTAATATGTAATTTTTTATTAGGTATGGGGCTTAAGCGTCCATGTTAAATTATGTTCCTTTGCTGGTGAGCACACCAAAAGCTCCTTATTCCGAAGCATCAGCAATGGAGTCTCTCAGTTAGAAATTGATGAAGCTGGTCGTTTATTTTCCTGTGGTGCAGATGGTTCACTGAAGATGAGGACCCTCCCAGATCATGATGTAGTCAGTTCTATGTTATAAACTATTCGGATTGTCCTGTATGAAATGCAACGAAATTTTATTAAAATGAGAATAACCTGTGATTTAATCAATCTCTCTATCTCTGACTGAAGTCAGCTGTGTCAGGTACAAGTAGCTGCTTTTCGTGGGCTGTGTGAATTTCCATCAGTATATAAATCTTTGATTGATGCTGGATTCTCTTTAAAAATTTAGAGCTGTTCAAAATTAGTCTTAATTAATTATCCATAATGGACTTGTATACAAGAACTGTTAAGAGTTTATATTTCTAAAATTTAAGAAAGTGCAATTTGTGTATGAACTATATTTGGTTTTTGTTTGTTGTATATTTTATATGTTTTTAACCATTTTATTATGAAATACTGATCTTGTAAAAGTACATTATCTATATAATCAGTTGTGATAATTTATTCAGAAATTAGATAGATGTATCTGAGTTGTTATAAATATCCATTGTTATGTAGAAAATAAAACTGGCTTCATCCTTGAATTAAATTTGTAAATTACCCATTTAAGTATTTTATGAAGATATTATTGCCACATAATTTCCAGCAAGAACAAAACTGTTTTCCATTATAAATGTTTATCTTGTTATGCATTTTCTTTTGCAAAAAGTTTGTAACAATTTTACAATGTCATAAGTTTTTAATATATTTTATTAATACTTCTCTGTTCTGTTCTTGTTTTCAATATTATTCTCAGTTTGATCCAACAATTCACATACATTTCATTTTTAATAACAATCATTTCCTATTTTTTTTTTTTTTTTTCTCTTTTCCGTATGTAATCCAGCATGTTTTCATAAGTTGTACAGAAACGCTCATAAATGTTTACCAGTAATCTTTGAATTCACTTTCATCTATGCAATGTTGTTGGTATTCTGTTTATCTATGCATAAAAAGACAAGCTTTGTCCTACACCTTGTTTTGCTCAATTGGTACATAATACAATTTTCTATCGGTGTTTTTCCTCAACCAACTCTCGGAACTTTTTGAACTGCTTTGCTCCTTCTCATGATGTTTTTGTGATTGTCTGTCTTTCCAGAAGTTATCGGTGTTTCTATCACATTCAAGATGCCAGTTTGTGTCTAAATCAGAAATAAACAGTATTTTCTCATCATCATAGAAATCATTTATTTAGGTTTCATATGTATATTTATTCAAGCTTGTTTGTATTTTGGAGAATAGTGATATTACTTAATATATTTTAAGTTTGTAAAGAAGTTGTAAATTATGTATAACACTGTATTTGTTTATCATGATGTAGGTGATGTACTATTGTATAGTGTCAAAAATGTGTAAAAAAAGCCAGAATAATTTATGGAAGATCTTCAAATGTTGACAAAAGCTAAAAATTACTGTATACAGCTGCCTTAGGGCTTGGAGGAAAAATAAAAGATATACATTGTATTGATTGCATGAAAATTAATTGCATTTATTTACAATTCATTTCACATAGTGGAGTTTTTGAATAGTGTAAGGAAAATTTTGATGGTCTGATAAATTGAATATTGTAAGGAAAATAATGGTGGTCTGATAAATAATGATAAATTAAAACATCTTTCATTAAAATACTACAAGAATCTACAAAATATTGCTTTTATCCTTAAATATACTTAACTATTTGAAAATACAATACACCAATGTAAAATTTAAAAGTAGCTTCTTAAAAATTTTTGATTATCATAGATTTTGAATAAAACTTTATAGATTTCAAGGACTGATTCTTCAGGAGCAAAATATTTTTGCTTTTCAGTGAAACCTTGGATGACAAACAGTGTTTCAAGTTGCGAACAATCCAGCTGGCAACATGCTATTTTCAAAGGTGATTTGAAATAACCAATATCCATAATTAATACTCAGGGACTTCTGGAAATCTTTTAATATGTTTCATCGCTTAACTCAGCTGCATGGACAATATAGTAATTAGGGGAGCGGACTGCAATATCTAAGAGCCTGGTTTCAAATCCTGGAGGAAGGGCATGGATGTAAATCGTCTATACTCGCATAAGAGGTGCCTCCATGATAAAATGAACACCACTTCTGGCCTTAGGAGGAGACTATAGCCAGTTTGGGTAGCTGATAGAGCCTTCGACACTTAGGCCTTTTTTTCATATTTATGATATTGAGTCTCTAGACTAGGAAGACATCCTAAGTTAATGCTAAATATGTGAAGAAGTTACTAGAGGACCAATAAAAATGAACTCAACAAGAAAAGACTACAAAAACTTTCGACACAGCAACAAAAAGTAACTGCAGAAAAAAATGTCTTCAGAAAAAGAAAAAATACCCTAGTCTGTCTGATTGCTGAAACTTGTACAAACTGGGGTAAGATGTGAAGTTTTCGTGCTGATATCTGATACGAACGAATTAAATTTATTAACCGAGGTTTCACCTATTTCATTACAATACAGTAAATGTCCAGAAATCCGCAAAGCTTGGGACCAGAGGTTGTGCGGATTTTAGGATTTTGTGAATTTCCAGACAGAAAAGATAAATCATAATATTCAAACTCAAAGAGCAAAATAAATAAGGTGTATTAGATACATTTAATTAATTATTATATACATTATTGCAATAATTTATTATATGTGTTAAATTATTATTACATACATAAGTTGATTATATTATTCATTGTATTATATGTACACAGCATCCAAGTTTGCCGATTTCGCCTCATGCAAAGATTTCCAGTTGCGGATTCCGGTGTTAGAATCAGTGTTGCTGTAAAATTTCAACAGCTTTTCTTTACTTTTCCGTATATCATACACAATCGTGTCGCAATTCCATACAATTCTGCTATAACCGAGGAGTGGAACCTGCCTCCATCTTTTGCAGAATTTACACTTTTTACATTACCGTCAATGCAACATGTTTAAGTTTTTCAACGTTGCAAGCAGTAAAATTATGAGAGCATTTCTTATCTGTCATTGTATTAAAAAAGGCTGAAATTAAAAATATTCTTAATTTGTCCACAAAATATCCAGATAAAAAAAGGCAGCACTAAATAAACTAAATATGACTCAATATTATTCGGTAATTACGACGTCATTATTCGGCAAGTATTTTTTCTTCGACATTTCGTACTCAATGTTGCGGTTCCCGGAACCTATAAACTGAATGTTTACATTTTGAGATTTCAGGTCGGCAGATTTTCGATACTTGACTGTATTACCATTTCTATATCTACTGAGACATTTTACTCTTCTTCTCCATGTTGAAATTATGTAGGATAAGATTTGTTTGCTGAAATATGATTATACACTTTTTGAGTATTGCTTAAGTAACAGAACGATTTAATTTCTTTTAGTCTGCGTGAAGACATCACTTTAAGGAAAACAGCTTAAATATTTTCCCTGTATGGGATGCTTTCATTGATGAGTATATAGTAAGTCAGAGATAATTATTAACTGTTTATAAGACTTTCAGTAACAGTATTGTTATTGAAAGTATTGATATAATTACTATGAAATGCATCACTGGCATTTCATCAAATATTGCGTTTCTGAAGCACATTTCTAATCTGTTTTTTCAAGTAAATGCTTGCACAAATGTAGTGTATTTTTTAGATGTTTCAAAACGATATTCAGTAACATTTTGACGAACACTTTGAAACTATCAGAATTTAGTTAATTTTAGATTTAAAATTTATATGCTAGAAGTACAGCTCTAATTACAAATTTATAATTATATAAATTATCTAATAGTATTTCAGTTACTATAACTTATATATCAGCTTCGTTATAGGTTCTAGATGAGCTAAATAACATTTGAATGTTGAACAGGAAAACACAATTAGTGCTAAAGTGCAAAACAAAGACTTACCTGTCATTGCATTGTTTTTTGCTGCAATTCGATGTCAACTCGACTACATTGTCACTCCCTTCTTCTTCTTCCACTTTTAACCATAGAAATCTGACAGACCAATGCTTTAGCCCCGAGGTCAAATACTTGTTTTGTGACAGAAGTTACAAAGATCTTGAATTGTATTTATCTTAGGCAGATATGCAAGGAAAAAACTTAATGCACTACATCTTCCTTATTCCAGAATTCAGCATTTCATTACTAGTACACACATTATATAGGAAGGGATTCTGGACAACTCTCCTGATCTTACATGACAATCTAAGCAATATTCACATTTTGAATAAACTGGGAGTATAACCAAAATTACCATTCTTAGGCAAATATTTATAAAAAATTTAATTTTACATTCTTCAGCTATCAAAATAGTCAGATTGTGTTAATCAAGAATTCTGAATGGAAATTCTTTATAATATTTGAATAATAAAATGCATATAAAATAAATTCAATGATAATTACATTCTGCAGTTCAGCTGTAGACTTTTTGACCAAAAAAGTGAAAAAAGCATTTTTATTAGTTTATCATTTTACTTCATTGATGTTCTTCCTTTTTTTCCAAATTTCTCTCAATTTTTGTTTTTCTGCATCATCTGAAAACGTATAATTTATGCTCTCAAAAGACAAATCAAATAATTCATCTTTAGTCAAGCCATAATATTTATAAGCCAGTGAATATTCATTTGATAATGATGTACTGAAAATGCCCTTGTCATCTGTCTGAAATATTTAATTTTGTTTATTATACAATGCCATACATTGACAAACATATGCATTTGAACAAAAAAACACTTATTGCTAGAGATACTCAAACTGAAAAATGTAGATAACAGTTTATAATTTTTCAAAAATTGCAGCATAAAAAATATCAAAAATAAAAAAATATGAATTAACTGTCACTCAAAAGGGTCTATTATTATTATTATTATTATTATTATTATTATTTTTACACTCTCCCTGAATTTACAGTCTACCAGCCAACTCTTGCTACCCCCTTTTTTTTTGTCTTTTAGCTATATTATTAAGTACTCTTTTGGGGGGGGAATTTACAGTTCAAGAACATAAACACTTTTTTTTTAATTTGGTCTTTTCTTAGTTTGTCATATCAATATTCAGTTTTCTCAGTAAGATGGCTAACAAAAAATTTTTTTGTCTTTTTATTATTAATGTTTTATCTGTTAATTTTATCACCTTTTTTTTTCTTTTGCACTTATACCACATAAAATTCAGCTCAACGACAAAATCAAAATATTTAAAAACAGCATATCTTTAGAATTCTGACTAGAACGTTAGAGGTTACCATACATATTTTTATATTTGCTATACTATTTCTTTAAAAACTATCTACTTGTGCAACCAGCTGCCTAAAACAGTTATTATAAAAAGTACACAATGATTTCAATGAGCTAGAGTAATTTCATAAAAATATTGAATATTTCTAATTAGGCATCTCATGATTTTATTACATGTTTATTTAAAACAATTGTATTAAAAGCAAAAGAAATTTTTTTAAGAGTGGTGTTTATTGCTTTTAAATTGCTTAGTTTATAGCTCGGTAATCTTCCAGATTAAATTTGAAAGTATCTTAAGCTTTACTGAATAGTTGGTGAATGGAAAATAAAAGTATTTTATTTCCAGCTGTATCAACACACTGCTTTCATACAACTGAGTTTGTTAATTTAAACTGAAAAGCACTTAGATTTTTCCGAATGGCGACAGTATCCCATGCTAAAGATAATTTTTTCCCCCCAAAATTGTGTTACCACTGCTTGTTTTTAAACCGTTCAGTTTGTTCATCAAAAATTCATTCAAAGTTTTACAATACAAATTAAAAATTCAGGCTTCCAGAAGCATATGTTCAGGTGGAGTTATTTAAAATTTGATGGTACTTAGTACCATCATTTTTTCATATTATGAGGAACATACCTACATATATGCAGATTCTTCATTATTTTATTTATTAAAAAATAACACAGATCGATAATATATGGCGGCAACAATTTGAAAAGTGATATATCATTTAATGTAAACCAATGGAAAGTCTCATTTCATAGCTAATATTCCTTTATGGGCTAATAGAATTGTCTTTGCATATTTGCAATTCTTTGATGTTAAATCCAGTTATTATTTTTTAGTTATCTCTACCACAGATCAATCAAGATTTACGAAAGTAAAGAATTAAGAGCACTAGATTTTGTATAATTATAGTTACAATATAAGCTACGGTATATATGTTTTGATAAATTAATTACATATATTAATAATAAATCTGAATTATAAATATTGTTAAATTTAATGCACAAAGGAAAAAAAGCTATACTTACACATAATACACAAGGATAATTTTCTGATTTAAAATGTCGAAAATGATGTTCTTCATACGAAGGTACAGTTTTTGATATTACATTTGATGTCAGGCAAATTTCTAAAAATAAGTACATAGTTTGTGCTTTAAAACTTAATTCATAAAATTAACAGTAAAAAACTATAATGATGCAAATAATGGCTATTTCTAATCTTGTCAGATTATGGACCAAGTCTACAAATTTCATAACAGCCTTAAGGAAAATAGCATATATTGTTGGTCAAGGTCTTGGGCATCTTAAGGTGACAGAATGACTTTACCCAGCTCTGTCATTTGATGCAGAAATACAAAAAAAAAAAAAAAAAAAAAGGAATGCAAGAGTCTTGTATCCTTACCTATCACCAAACTCTTGAGAGGATTTTCAGCTTGACAGTATTTTAAATGCCCCCCCCACCATGCAGCAAAGTCAATATACATTTACAAACATCTATGCTTTCTACAGGATTCAAACCTGAGCCCAATGCTATAATAGTAGCTGGTATTACTAACTACTAAACTGATCAACACAGTGAAAGTAATAAATGCAGGTGTTACAAATTTTTAGGACTATTTCGGAGCCATTTAATTATGTTTAAAATGTAAATATTTTAAACATTAATTAATGGCTGAGTATTTTTCTACATGTTCAATCTGCTAGCCTTTTTTTCTAGTCTATAAGTCTGCATCATAATTTCCATAATAGAATGGCTTTTCGTAAATTTTCCGGGGATTTTTTACTCCTTTTCCACAATTTTCCAGATTCCATATATAGGTACATAGGTTTTCCAGATTCCATTTGGTTTGGACTTAGAAATAAGTTCTTTTCAAGAGACCAAAGGTACTTACTTGCAAGTCACCTGGCCAAAAGTCCAGCAAGGATATATTGAAAAAGTATACATGCAATACCTGTAATCAGCCTTCATTTAGTCAAATAATGCAGTGGTACTTTTCGAAGTATGACTTGTTACTTTGTCTTAATGGTGTTTCACTCTTTGAAAGTCATAACAATACAGAAATAGAATTTCCTATCTAAACATCAGATCTAAAACTTTCTCTTGGATAGTACATTGATTTGATTTTAATATTTTAAATTTCCCACAGTAAAATAATCCTTTAACAATCACAAACTCTTCACTGAAACCTTTGCATTGATGGAACCAGATTTGTACATTTTTTTTTCTTTTTAAAGCTCCACTGTCAATAATAAATAGCCCTTTATTTTATTGCAGTCATTTAGGCAAACCCATGCTTCATCAAGGATCACAATGCATTTATATTTATCTTCTGGTAAATAGTTTTCTTACAGGATTTTACAAATTCCTCTGCTTTGGGCCGCATGCCTCGGCAAATGCCGGGTTTTAGCTTTATTTTTAAGCTTTTGTAAATATTTGTTTGTTATTTTATTTACTGTTGTTACAGATGTATTTAAGGACTTTGCAATTGATTTCTGCATTGGTGGATTTCCTCTTTTCACCAACAATTTAATTTTAGAAACAGTAAACACCTTTCTTCGACATTCATTTAAAGTCTTATTGTTTTAAATTCCATATAGAAGTGATAATAGATGCTTTTTCCCTTTCAGACTAATAATGTTGCTTATTTCGTACTTACAAATTTTAATACTATGCACTTCACAATTATTTTCAATTATGGAATAGGAATATTTCTGTTTGGAAATACAAAATCATATTCTTCAATCTGAAGCTCGTTTATATGCAACATTTTGAAAGAATAAATTTAAAAGTAGCAGATAATATTTATTATTTCAAATAATAAGCTGTTGTGAGAAATTTTAATTCCAGAGCATTTGCTTTTTTTAAAATTATTTATTGAAATCGTTCTAAAGGTGCATAAACACCTTCTGTATAATTTCTTTAATAAGAGAATTAGATTAATTGGAATTTATTTGCTTATCTAGCGCAGTCTTCAATGATTTAATCCTAATTTGGTTTAACTCACTTTCAAAGAGATAACCATTCATAAACATTCTGAATGTTTATCCTGCCATGTTTAGTGCAAAAGAATAATTTTTTAACAACATGTCATTTCGAGTTAGCAACCGCTTTTAAACTGCATTCCTAAATCAAAAAAACTGTTCATGCCCCACGTTGGGTGCCAAAAATGTAAAATAATATAATAGAACCAAAAAGATTTCATGTTATCCTGGTTCAAGATTCATTATTCAATTCAAATCACAAACAATTTCACAAAGTAAATGAACATTCGAATCAAGTTTCAAACTTCCAAGTGTATTCAGTTCTAACATGCATTTAGCTGGGACTGCCAGATCCAAGAACAAGAAGTATACATCATGAAAAATTTACGCCCTCTATTGGTGATTAAAATATATTTCCAGATAAATTTCTTACAACGAGGACTCTGACTATGACGGAAGAAAGAGCTTTGGTAATCTTTGAAAGGAAGCTTCTAAGATCTGTTTTTGGTACTGATTTAGAGAATAATATATGGCATATACAATATAACTTCGAACTCTACAAAATTATACAAATAAGGATATTATTAAATCCATAAAATTAAGTAAAATGAGATGAGCAGGTCATCTCCTGAGAATGAATGCAGAGAGAATGATCCTTAAGGTCTTTAATGCAACTCCTGTTTGTAGAAGATCAAGAAAAGACCTAAGAAAAGTTGAAGGGACTGTCTGGATGAGGATTTTGCCATTCTAAAAATTAAGAACTAGAAGTCAGTCGCTGGAAGGTGGGTGGAATGGAAAATATTTCCGAAGAAGGCCAGTGCCCACAAGGGGCAGTCGTGCCAATGCTGATGATGATTTGGGTAAGAAGAGCATTGGAATAATATAATTAGATTCTAATTTATATTACTAAAACACTAAACCTACTTCAAATTTATTGCAGATTTAACTGGAAATGTGATGATCAAGAGATTACAGATTGTATAATATCTATAAAAAAAAAATAAAAAAAAAAAAAACTGCAACAGTGATAGTGATGTATATAAATGGTAATAACAGATGTTTCAAGAAAGACAAACAAATGTCTATGGTGAGAATGCATAGGAAAGTATATATGGTATTTCTCATGCTTTCCTAGCATGTGGCACCTGAACTAAAAGAGTGGTGGATGAGGATTCTGCACACCCAGGATTTGGCGATTGGGTCCCCTAAAAAAAAACATCAGTCGCCCTTTAAAAAAAGGGAGGATATAAGGTATTTCTCCCATTTTCCTATCATGCCTTTGTGGTGTAGTGGTTCTGCACGCTGGGCCGGTATTCCAGAGGTCCGTGGATCCATTCCCGGCGAAGGCGCTGCTAATTTTTCATCTCTCCGGCTTTTGCAATTAACCTAATATTTCTACAAGTAAACTGGCAACTGATGATACCATCAAATTATGTTACAGGCTAGTTCAACAGCTAGGGGACACTCATGACAAAGACATGTAACAACTTGTAATTTGTTATGACAAATGTTGTAACTGTAAATGCAAATACGTGAGAAAATAATATAAATTAACTTTTATATATATTTAATACTTTTATGTCAACATGTGCAATATTTTTTCCCTCTGCTATCTGTATCCATATTGTCTTTTGATTCTTCAGTATCATTTGGCAATGGTAATTTTATGTTTCTTTCTAAATATATTTTAGAACTGTTCAAAAGTTCTGCATGACTTAAATCGTCATCTGAACATATCAAATATTTTTCTGTTTCTTAAAAATCCTCAAATTAAATTAGAATATTAATGTAAAACATATTTGAATTGCTTTGCAACTATCACAGACTTTAATTTCGCTTATCAAGTTATGTACTAAAAATTAAAAACAGGAATATCTGTTACACAAATGATGTGCCATCAGCTTTATATATCAGATCAACATTAAATTAATATGTAAACATAAAACCATCATCTTGATAACATCAATCTCTGTCTACTGATTTGAATATCACACCAACATTTATCTGCTTTGCACACAACTTCAATGAGGTGATACTGGCATTTATTTGCCTATTTCACATATAATACCAATGTGATAACATTTATCTGCCAGCTTTATATATAACACCAAGGTGGTGCCACCCGATTACAAGCATTTAAAAGCTTTTTTTCTTCATTCCCAACTCATCAGAACTTAGAGTTAAAATAGCTCATACTTTTAACTCATACTTTCACATTCTATGTATTTTAAATAACAACAGTCTTCTTCTAAAAATATTCAAACCTCTCTATTGCCACTAACAGAGATGCCAAATAAACACAAAAGGCAAATTCAGATATTAAAAAAAGAATCTGGGAAAATGATATTTTATTGGACATAACATGTGCTCAGAGAAAAATTTATAGTTGGAAGGAAAAAAAATGGAATTCATTTATGAAATATTGTTCTTGTTAAGAACATTTTCCAATAATATGTGCATTTTTATTTGAATTTTCCTTCATATTATTATTTTATTTTTATTTGTTCACTAACCATAGTAGGTGAACTGGTAAATAAAAATTAAAGAACTTACCAAGAGGAATTCTTAGCTGATGAAGAAGATCATAGTTTTCTTGAGATCCTCCTTTGAGTGGGTGCAAATATGTTCCATGGCCTAATCTATCTGGCTTCAGTCTTAAAAGCTGTTTCACTTCATTATATTCATTAGGAACCCAAAAGAAATTAATATTATTGATATTACTAAAAAATTTTATTTTATGATTAAGTTTTTGATTTTGTGATTTACACAGTTATATTACATAATAACATTTGATGCAAACATAATACAGGGATTCATAATTTCTGTTGGGGGTTCCAAAAGTTTATCATACAGTAATTAATTGTATGAAAAATTTGCACTACACTTTAAGTTTAATCAAGCATGTATTTATTCAATAAATCATGACTACTGTTAGCAAGTACCTTTGCACATGTGCACGATTCACTTGCCCTGTGGTGTGGTCCTTTTGTGCAAGTCCAGTAAGTGAGAAGCTAAATGTGCTGTATATCCAAATTTCTTAATTTGTTTTTACTTTGCTGTTTTACATCTTCATTGTACAAATAAATAGTATTTGTTCTATTGCTGAAAAATGTCATTAGTTTTCTATAATTAAACTATTTATGAGAATGGAGCATATATTCTTTGTATCATAGTTATATACTATAAACTTTCAGAACCTCAAAAGGAGTTACGAACCCTCATTAACATTGATTAATCAATACTAAGAGATAGATTTAGAAAAAAGATGCTCGACACAAAAATTCAAATAATAAAATTTTGGATTTCCAAATATAACTTGCATTTATTTAATATATTTGCATAACTTGACATTTATTGTAAATTTATTTACAATCTTACAGCTTTTTTGTAATTAATGCAACTTCTTAAGACTAGAAATTCAGAAAACCGTAAATTTGCCTTAAAAAAATACCAAATAAATTTAAATGTTTAAATGGGTTTCCTTCCTGAGGTGAGACATGTAATATCTCATTTTAAATTATTATAATGACATATTATTTGTAACAACTTAATTTGTAACAACTTTTAAAATTATATATAACTCATTTTATAAATTAGTCAGTCAGGCAGGTAGAAATACACAATATAATGCAATAATGAAATTTCGGTAAACATGTTCTCATGAACAATTTGAATTGGAACTTAAATTCAAATAAGGAAACAAATGTCATATTTACAAGACAGTAAATTAAAAAAAAAAAAAAAATATTTGAACATCTGAACTGACAGCAGTGTAGCATCATACAAGAACTGACAGCAATATATCGTAAGTAATTAATAACAAACCACATGAATTGGCATAACACAAGTGAAATTTCCAACAAATTAACTCATGTTATGCTGAGTCTTCTTGCATATTTTTAGTATTTATTTTTCTGATGTCTTCTTTTGTAATTAATATGTATATCATCAAACCTGAAATATTTCCTCTCAACAGCAACAAAAATAAGTTATTAAAAATCAAATCAGGGAACAGCAATAAATAATAGTTACTACCTTTTATCTAACTATTAACAGTCAGCTTTTTATTCTTTCTTCATTTTTTAAAGTCATAATTTTGGGGGCGGGGTGCAAATTTAGCTACACAAATTTAAATTCATTTGACTAGAAGCTGCCCATGACTATTAAACACAATTTTTAATTAAAAAATAATTAAAATATAATACAAAAGAATAGTAAAAAATTAGATCACTGTAATCACTGCATATATTTTTAATAAAAATACAAAATAAATGCTATTATTTTTAATTTAAAACTAGTGGTCTTGAATTTTGATAACATTTTAATCAACCCTTTATTTGCACATTTTGACAAATATACTAGCATAATCACAGCTCTAAATAATAATGACAGTACAAAACTACCAGTTTATATAGTTTGTAAATTATGTTATATAAGTGTGCAACTAACTCAATTTTTGCTAGTATATCTGGGATGAAGCCTAAAATAAAGATATGATATTTACTTCTGAGATATGAACTGCTAATCTGAGTCCAATTTTCTTCGCATATTCTAATAAAGGAATGAATTTATATACATCACCAGCCTAAAAAAAAAGACAGAAAAATAAATGTGAAATTAAATGCTTTTCAAAACACTAATAAATATGAAAGCATAAACAAGTTTACACATATATTATGTATATTTAATTTTAAAAATAATGAGAATAAGCAAATAATAATGATTAAAAAGACAGCAGTGGAGGAGACCTAAAAATTTTAATTTTGGAATAGTCTGATATACATAAAAAGCAATTTATTCACAGGGTGGTCATAAAAAAAAATCACTGGCATAGATACCCCCAGCAGCCTATCAACTCAAACAATCGAAATGAAATATCAGATACTGTTTTTTAAAGGCATGCACTCGAGAATGTGATGGTTTTAAACAACAGAACTCTGACAATTACGGTTACAATGAAATTTTGAATGGCAACAACCACTTTTTCCTGCAGAAATAGTACTATTTGAAACAACACATGTATAATGAAAACTGCCAGCAGAAAATGTTTGGGGAAAAAAAAAAAAAAAAAAAAAAAAAACATTGTACAGGGTCAATGACAACACAACAAAGGATAGGCGAAAAAAAACTTAAATTGGAATTACAAGTTTTCATGCATCCACCTTCGCAGATGATCCCAACATTACATGTGGGGGATTGTTGACAACAATGACGAATGTAGCATCGCAGGAGGAATCTGTAAAATTTCAGATTTTATGGCTTCTTTTAATTCTGACAAATCTTGTGCATTTGATGTATATACCTTAGATTTCAAATAACCTAAGAACCAGAAATTCACTGGAGTGAGCTCAAGGGATCACAGTAGCCATGAAACTGCAAAATTATGGGAGACGATGCCACCTCATTTCAGCATTTGCCAGACACATGTGGCAACGTAAGGGAGGAGGACCATCTTGCATCCATTACAATGCCATTAACATTTCACTTGTGCAGTTCTGAATTTCGTAATTCTGTAACATTGTTGTATACTGAGCAATTGTAATGGAACTTTTTTTTATACCTTTGGAAGTGACCTCTTTGAACCGACAATGAATATGCTTATGATGCCGCACCATAGTCACTTCTTGTAACAGTGCTGATGCCACATCGCTAGGATTTTCGTTAGCACAGTGAATGCACTTTTTAGAGTTTATGTTCCCAATTAAACAGAAATGTGCCTTGTATCCAGGTTGCAACATCTGGATGCTCTGAAATCGATAACTCATCTTATAAACTAAAGACTACTTCAAAACTTGGAAAACCATACCAAACTAAAAGAATTAATAAAAACCAAAAAATAAATAACATTCAAATTAAAACAGGGCAACTCGTGCTATCCTTGTCCTCCGAGAAAAATTCTCCCGCCCACAAGCAAGTCACTTCGACTTTTATTCAGAATAAGTTATACATAAAATAATGTGTAGTAATAATAAATTAACAAAAGATTTCTCTACTTATCATAACAGATAGAGAAAATATACATTTAATCATCAGCCTCAATGTTTGTATCAGTAAGTACTTCCACATGGGTGGCAAATGTCACATATGCATACAAGTTCCTTTTCAGAGTACAGTAACTATGGCAGGCATCTCTTATGCGACTCTTGCTTCTGCGATAAATCTATATTACAGATTCTGGTACAACTCTGATATATGCCCTAATTTCACCAAATGTGGCGATATGTGTTCTGCGCTGGTTTTTGGCGCAATTGCATGTTGTATGGCAACCCTGTTGACGTTGAAAAATCTTTTGCTTCATTGGTTCGCGTCATGCTCTGTGTCTGAGAAGCTAAAATGGTGAAAGTTGTTAAATTGAAGTTCGGCAAAAGGAAATATTGTCGTGGCCATCCTGTTGAGGGGCAGTGGGTATTTGGAGGTGTGGAAAGAGGGTCTGGGAGATTATTTTTAGTGGCTGTACATGATAGAAGTAGGGATTTGTGATTATTTGTTATTTTATTTATTTGTGAACCATAGTATGAATTTTCTGGATAGTGTGTCTGGCTGTCATATAAATACGATAGTGATTACGTGGCGGCATGTTAAAGGTGGTATGAAATTGGTATTCCTGCTGTTCGAAAAAGCATTGATTCATGGTAAGTGCATTTTATTTTATTCTTGTTCTTATTTTGTAGAATGTTATGTTCATTGTTTTTTTAGTATGAATTTCTGTCGTTATTGTTGTTTTTTTTTTTTGAATTGTTTGAAATTTATTTTAGTTATTTTGTTGATTAGTGTGTACCGTCTAAATTGTGCAACTCATAGATGTTTTTTAAAGTTGAAACAGAACGCTGTATACATAGTATTCTTTGAAATTTAATGTTAATTTATTAAAGTGAAGTGTGCGTAGTTCGTAGATTCGGTTGTTGCCTAAACTGTGCAATTCGTAGATTTTTTTAAAGTTTAAACAGGATGCTGTGTACATGGTATTCTTTGAAATTTATTGTTGTTACTTTAATTTATTAAAGCAAGGTATGCGTAGTTCGTAGATTCGTTCACTGCCTAGATTGTGCCATTCATAGATTTTTTTTTAAGTTAAAACATATCGCTGTGTACATGGACTCTTATCAAATAATTTTGGTTAGAAACTTTACGGTTTTGCTATCTAAATTTTTTGTTTTTGTTTTGGATTTTTAGCTTAAATTGTATGTTACGTGGTTTTTGCATTCGCGAAAACCGCGTTTTTGGAGACATTTTAGGCTTAAAGTTCGAAATGTAGACAAAAAATTTAGATAGCAATATGGCAGCATGGAGTTTCTCGCTTAAAATGTTTGGCGAGAAATTTAGCAACTTGAGGGCACATATCAGAGTGTAATGCATAAATGAATTACATAATGTAAATACACACCACATAAGCGTTCATCTCGTTTACATAACCATTTCTATTCTATTCAACATTTATGTAAAACATTATCTATTATTTTTTATTTACCTTGAATACAAAAAAAGATTTTTAAAATAAACAATATCAGAAACAGATACTGCATATTCATACACATAACTCATAACAAAATATTATTTTTTAGATGTTATTCTCCACGTCCATGAGCAGATATAAGCAATTTTACAACAAATATTACAGTTTATACATTATAATTACACTAAAAAGAAATATAAACAGACATAATATATATATATATACAAAATACACTGATAATAAAGATAATCAGTACATAAATATAAAAAATATATTAATCAGCATCAAAGTAATCATAACTATTCAAATCATTAATAATCTTCATGACTCCAATTTTTATTTTTTTCATTAGTATATAACATCTCATTTTTTAAAAAAATATTTATAAAATATTCTGCCCTAAATGGACCTTTGCAAATACAACCCCGTAAACAGCGTCTTAAATTTGCATTTTTTTTACATATATATTTACATTTTTCTTGTGAAATCTACATAAATATTCCACTCATTGTCCATAACTAGTTAATGCTTGGTTACACTCTTATTGCAAGATAGTCTTAAAAATGATAAATGTTTCTTCTGGTAGTATTATTTTGCAATCTTTCTTGTCAACTATTCATAATTTCTTTCTGCAGTAATGTTTTAATATTAATTCATCGATACGGTGGAATACAAATCTATTGAATCTCTCACAGTTGCATTTTTCACTGCGTTACCAGCAACCTCATTTCCAATACTCTTGTGTGCCTTTGACCGTTCACATTCAGTTTAAATTTTGAAAAGAATCCTAAAACTTTGTTTTTCACATCAATAATCTTTTTAACTGCATATTTCCTTCAAGCGAGTGCTTTCAGCATTTGCTTCAGGTCAGTATAAATTTAAACTGGACAATATGCCAAACTTCTTTCACTTACCCAAGTATCAAATTATATTAATGCTTCTCTGAAAGCAATTCAGCTTAAAAAATGTACTTTCTTCATTTCATCTAAAACACTTTTCTTTGCATTTAACATCATTAAAATATGCAACAAAGCCCACTCCTGCTCTAATATTGATCACCAAGACATCAGAAAAAATTTCTAATCAACGTCCTTGTGGGCTATCTTCTCTATGTTTACTGGGGGATGGTAATATTTATTCTCTTTTACATCATTTTTTGCATTATTTATTCCACAAGTTCTAACTTTTTTTCATATGCTGTGTATAATAAGTTTGAATTTCCAATCTGCTATTGAACCAATGAGAATAACTCCCACTAAAACCTGTATGTCGACACTGTCTTGTAACAACCAGTGATTGACAGCACAGCAGTTATGAATGGTAATTTACAATGCTCTTCTTTGCAAATGCTTTATGCCAGCACATCATCATACATATATCATTCTGTCCAGATTTATGATTTCTCAATGCACTTATCAATTTGCACATGAAAAACGTTGTTGGTGTTGCCATTAAAAAATTTCAAAATTTGTTCACTGTCATAACCATGAGAGCTTTATTGTTTTAAATAATCTCCATCTCATACCTTTAATATATATATATATATATATATATATATATATATATATATATATATATATATAACCTTTTGGTTTTTATAAAATCAAGTTTACCTTTTGATTTTTTTTTTTTTAATTTTACTTTCTTCCTTTTCCTATTAAGACTTTGTGGATTAAAATTTATATAGTCTTCAAATTGTAATTCTTAGTTTTCTTTATTGGCATTCTTAATTTTACCTTTTGGAATTTTAGATAGGAGTATTCCCATTTCATTCATTTGATTAAATATGTACACATATATACTGTATACATAAAGAAAGAAATATAAAACTATTTTTTCACAAAGACCAGGAAAAGAAATTCAAATAAATAAATTTAAAAAAATGTTATCTGAATTTCATTTTTTGGTCTTAGTGAGAAAACTGATTTTAAATTTCTTTCTTTATGTATTTACTGATCAATATTCTGTGATATAATACACAGAAATTTTTGGAATGATTATATATTTTTATTTATTAAAAAAAATATTTATGTAATATATATAAAGATTTTTTCGAAGACAAACATTCTTTTAAAAAGGATTCGATAAATGTTCATAATTTCTTACATATACACACTCTATCACAAAACAATATATGCATCCAGAAGAAATCAAGCCACAATTCGGCAGGAATGTAGTCTGGTAAGAGATATGCAAACGATTTAAATTTTGACACTAATGAGACAAGGGTAAGTGTGCTATGCGCATATGAGATGCGAAGCTGGGAGAGTTAAAAGCATGATTGCTCATGCTGTAGGGCTAGCGAACAAGGTTGGTAGAACAGGCGTATCAGCCACCACTTCGGTCAAAGTGATATAGTAATTGCTCAATGTTGGCGACAATGAATAGATAGTCTATTGTCGCAGAGGGTCAGAGTGTCCCAGGAACATAACGCTAGGTTCACACAATCATAAGAGCAGCCACTTTCGTACCAACAATGTCACTAGCATCAATTCAATGTCATTTACCACCTTCTAGGCATCTGGGAATATCAGGGGAAACCATTTTAAAGATGACTGGCAGACGATGGTAGTGCTGCTGACGTCCATTAAGATAACTACCACTGACCTCGCATCACAGGCAGTGTCAATTTGATTTTTGCTAAACTTGAGGAAGCTGAAGTGTGACCGATTGAAGGCGTGCGATGAATCCTGATTCATTTTCAGTTCTCATGACCAATGCATAGGGATGTTGAGAAGAGCAATTCTTGGGATACACAAGCACCTCTAATTGTCCTTCAAAGCACTATGATAGCTCGCAGTTACGTGGACGACATGTTAATGCCAGTTGTACTGCCTGTATTATCAAGTCAACGAGGTGCCACTTATCAGCAAGGCAGTGCTCATTCACAAACCTCCTCCAACAAACTATGACGTACTCTCGTGACCTGCCAGGTCACCTCTTACCAATAGAGCAGTTTTAGGACATGCTTGGAAGGCAACTGCATCCGCCCCAAAATATTGGTGAATTAACTGCCCAGTTACAAAGATTATGACATAATCTTCCCCAGGGGGTCATAGGTGCCACACCATGTTTGATGCCTACTTGAGATGCCTCACCATGTTTTTTTGGCTTGTATAGCTGCCAGAGGTGACTATATTACTTACTCATTTTCAACCTTTTTCATGCCATAATTTCTTAATACAACGATCTTTCACTCTGACTTTGTAATTATTTGTTTATCTCCTCATACACTACATGCATATTAAGTTTAGTGATAGTAGTTCATTTCCTTCTGGGTGCATAATATTTTTTTGTGACTGTGTGTATATTACATATATATTTGGCTTTAAGTTTAATTTATTCAGACTTTAGAAAAGTTTATTTTCACATTAAAATTTTAAAAATAATCAAGATATTTGCATATTAAACAATATTTTACCATAGGATTTCCACTCAAATCAATTCCAGTAACCACAGGTGAAAGTATTGTATGTTTTTGAGCAATTTTCAGCATTTCTTCAGCAAAACTGAAAGGCCTCCCTCGATCAATAGATAACAGAAGTTTCACGGTCATTTCTTTACAGCTGGAGGTACAAGCATCATTAATTGCTTTTAGGACAGTTTCGACATAAATATCTTGTGTCATTCTTTCCTTTACTTCTTTTGGGGTTGTTCTTAGTTCCAAATAGTGAACACCATCATTATAAAAATCTTCAATAATATCCAATGTAGCCTAGAAATAATACAGTCTAATTTAATACTGACTGTCAACAGACTCAAAGGCTAAACAATAAATTTGAAGATAATGAAAAATTAATAACTTTCTTCTATTGCATTATATAAATTAAGAGCAGTAAAACAGCAGTACCATTTTTAACATGGAATTAAAATTTAGTTCAAATGCTATTACTACATAAAGAGTACTATTCCATTAAAGCCATATTACTATACGAAATTTGCCTTGGTATTATGTGTTGCCTATTAGATTTTTTTTTTTTTTTTTTTTCATGCAACTGCTATGCTTTTTGATGCACAGTAGCATGAAAGAAGAAATGAAAGGAGAGGCCTTGGTTTTTGCCATTTGCTCCTTTGAAGCAGTGCCACCCTCTTGTTTATCAAAACATTCAGTGACTTACCATTAAAACATAGTTTTTGGCACGTTTGGAGGCAAACATTTTGTAATTATGTTATAAATAGAAATGTATACATTTTCTTTTTCTATTTCCCAACTATGTGAAAGACTACATTTTTTAAACAACATTTCATTCTAAATGGAATTAAATACTGTGCTTTTTGGGCATCCAGAACAATTTTAATTTGAATCAATCAATCCTTAATTTAATCACAAGTTTTCGCTAATTACAGTAGAAAGAAATTTTAATAAAATTTGATTTTATTTGTTGTACAATTACAAAAATTAAAACTAAAGTTCACTGTATTATTAATTTTAAAATGCTTTATTTCTCTACAATTTTCAGAACCTTTTTCTGAAGTATCTGTTTAATCAAAAATTACACTTGCTCCCTAATTAATGCTCTGATTGGTTTAATTCAAATTAGAGCACCATTTTTAATTTAATTGTTAGTAATTTAGGTACAAGTTTTAAATGATATTAATAGGTTTATTAATATGATTTAAAACTTGTAACTAAATTATTATAATTTAAAAATTAAGAAAATAATCCTTTTGATACTAATAAAAAATTTCATCTAACACTTGAATTGAACTATACATATTTTAAAAACTCTACTTTATTGCTTCCTTGAGTATGCATCTCATATACTGTGTTTTCCCACCACCTTTTAATAGATTGTTTTCCGTTATGAACAAATTGCAGAATTTAAATTTATTTTACAATTAAATGTTACAGTCTTTATACATTTAGATAATCTTTATATATTTAAATATATTTAATAACTAAATCTCTTCCCTCTAACATATACAGAAGTTTATGAACGAATAAATCCTTCATTTCCAAATACATTTATAAATAATTTAATTAATATTTGCATATTTAATTACAGCAAATGCACGATTCATAAAATGGTATGCATAAATATCCATACGTATTTAATACAGTTAATTTTCAGCATGTGCAAATCTTTATTTTCTGTGCATTCACCATATTTTTTTAGCAAGAAAATTTTGAATAATTTAGCATATGTTAGAATTTTTACATAAGAAATGTGTATAAATATAAATTGAATGAAAATTATATTTTCTATATTTACAAACATTCAAAAAGTAGGTTTTGTTTCATGTAATAGTATATGTGCCGAGTAAAATAGACCACACCAGTAGCTGACAGCCAACACTGGTGAACGCTGGTAATTCTACCCGGTTTTATATCCTAGGCAATCTTAAATAAATATGAAAATACAATTTATTATCTTTGATAAACCAAAAAAAAAAAAAAAAAAAAAAAAAAAAAAAAAAAAAACAGAAGATAACTTTTAAAATATAAAATTAAATTTTAAGAAGAAATCTATTTCTTACTTAGATTTTAATTTACATTAAATAAAAATTTAAATGCATATTATATAAACAATGCCATAATTTAATTCTAGGGTATGAAAAATGTATGTGATTTTTAATTTATTTCTAAAAATTTTAGAAGTTACCTTTAATTTTATGTTAAAAAGAAATCAATTATGAAGCTTCAAAATTTTTTTAATTTATTTTTTAAGAAAATATGATTCAATTATTGGTAGCGTATGCTAGAAAATCTATTATTCATCAAATTTATTCTGTTAGAAATTTTGGAAAAAACAACTCAACATAATACTGATACTACTTTTCATCTTTTATGCATTTTAAAGTTACTTATGATAGCATATATTGTGAAAAGCTGTTTGAAGCTATGGTGGAATTTGGATTTCCTAGAAAATTGATTCATCTATCTAGAATGACTTTAAAGAGTAAATTGCGGAGTTAAAATCATGTCTGATACATCACAAGCACTCTGCACTGAAAGGGGGTTGAGACAAAGTGATGCCCTGTCTTTTAATATCACCCTTGAAAAGGCTTTCAGGAGATGCTGAAATTATAACTAGAGGAACCATATTTCAGATATCTATACAGTTACTAGGCACATGGCTGATGACATCCACATTATTCGTAGACATAAACAGCCACTTGCGAACACTTATTTCTCTAGTCTCTGCAGCCAGAGACATGGGACTAACTATTAATGTAAATTTAAAACAAAATCAAAATTAATGACTGTAACTAGTACAGTACATAATCCCTTCCTACAGCAAATAAATTCTTATATTTTTGAGGAGGTTTCTCAGTTTATGTATCTCAGAACTATCATCACCAATGATAGGAATATTAAACTTGAAATTGGCAATAGATTATTTACAACTAATAGATATTGTCAAGGCTTAAAAAATTTGTTAGTGTCTAAATAATTAAACTTCAAGACAAAAATAAATCTTTATACAACTCTTATTAGACCTATCATACTGTATGGTAGTGAATGATGGACATTAACAAAAACACATGATGAAAGACTTCTAATGTTTGAAAGAAAAATACTGCTAAAAATATATGGAGTGAAATTAGAGAGTTAGAGATGTTATAGAAAATAGTAGATGGAGAATTTTGTTTAACTAAGAAATATATAAAAGATACAAATAACCTAATACTGTCCAAGTCATTAAATCTTATTGCACCAAGTGGCTTGGACGTATTTTTCGGTGTAACAACTTGAATCTCCTGTTAAAAAAAGGCGGCCTTTGCAAGTGTAGAGGATACCCGGGAAAGAGGAAGACCTCGCACAAGATAGACTGTGTGAAGGAAGATCACAAGACTTTAAAAATCAACCATTGGCAGATCGTAGTGACTAACTGGATCCACTAGAGGAAGATTACTGAGATTGCTTTGGCCTGCAATAGGCTGTATTGCAATTGAAGAAGAAGATTTGCAGTATAAGTTATTTTAACTGTACATTAATTTTCTATTTAAAAAGGAAAAGAAGGGAAAAAATGAAAACAGCTAAAAACAGCAACTTGTTATATATAATGCTGAGCACAGTGGATATTACAATATTAGGTACTCTTCTATTATCGGAACCGGATTCAGAAGTGTATGCATGTACATATATACCAGGTTGTTCAATAAGTTTGCAGAACGGAAATGAAGAAACCAATTTTTATTTGTAAAAATGACTTTATTTTTCAATGTAGTTTCCCTCAACTTCAATACACTTATTCCAACAGTCTTCTAATTTATAGATTCCTTGACTGTAGTTGTTTTTCGGCAGCTCTGCAAAATATCCCTCCAGGACAGCTATTACCTCTTCGTTTAAAGAAAATCGTTTTCTATGGAGGTATTGTTTGAGGTGTGGGAAGAGCCAGAAGTCGGAGGGAGCTAAATCTGGCGAACAGGCTGGATGTTGCAACAATTCGTACTTCAATTCAGTTATTTTAGCAATGGTTTTTTGAGCTGTGTGCGCAGGTGCGTTATCTTGGTGGAAAATGATTTTCTTCTTCTGTAATCCGGGTCTTTCACAAATTTTTTCATCTAATTGATTCAAAAGGTTACAATAATAATCCGAATGAATTACTTTTCCAGTTTGAAGATAATCTATAAACAAAATTCCTTTCGCATCCCAAAAAACTGATGCTAACACCTTCTTGGTTGATTTTTGCACATGAACTCACTTCGGCGCCGAAGAGTCACGTTCACACCACTCCTTAGCTTCCTTCAGGATCATGATGGTAGACCGAAGTCTCATCCATTGTGATAAACCGATGGATAAAGTCGCTTTTATTCTTCTTAAAATGCTCCAAATGTTGCTGGAAAAGTCGCATCCGAATGTGTTTTTGCTCCATCGTCAGAGAATGCGGCACCCATTTTGCACAGAGTTTTTGAAACCCAAATTAACACTCAAAATATTGCTCACTGTGCCCAATGAAATGCCTAAAGCCTCTGTTAAATCTCTTTCAGTCAATCGACGGTCTTCCAATACCACATGTAGGATTTTTCCGACGACTTCCGTTAATGATGCAGTTTTCGGACGTCCCTCTCGCGAATCGTATTCAAGGCTGGTACGACCACTTTTGAATAAACTAGCCCACTTACAAACCATTGCTTTTGAAGAAGCAGATTCACCCAACACATTCACCATTTCGGTATGAATTTCCATTGCCTTTAAACCTTTCTTTACAAAGAATTTGATAACTCCACGTTGCTCAATTTTATCCATACCTGAAAAAAGCCACAGCACGTTAGATATAAAGGGCGGTTAAACAAGGAATAAATTAACAGATTGAAATGAAACTTTTGACGTGTTCCTAAGAAAGAACAAGTATGAAAATGGCGTCAAAGTTTTAGGTCTAATATTGATGAATAGATGGCGCTCCGCGAACTTATTGAACAACCTTGTATATAGGGTTCGTACACATTTCTGCACACAGAAATTAAGTACTTTAAAGGACCATTAATGAAAAAATTATGGACCTATGAGCAAATGGGAACTGAATAAATTCAATTGAAAATATTATCTATGTCTGAATTTTACTTTTGTAATACCATCCTAAAAATTAAATAGATCCCTAAGATTCTAGTATTAGAAGTAAAGCATTCAAATATTATGTTTTCATTGTTCGTTCAGATGTTCTCCAAAAAGTAAGTAATTCATTCTAAACATTCTGTAAAATACATCATTACATGTTGATACCATGGAGACATTTTTCATTTTGACACATATTTCTTGAATCTTCTAGA